TTTTTTTTTTTTTTTTAATATATCTTTATTGATTTCAGAGAGAGGAAGGGAGAGGGAGAGAGAGAGATAGAAACATCAATGAAGAGAGAGTCATTGATCAGCCGCCTCCTGCACGGGGAATCAAACCATGATCTCCTGGATCATAGGTCAATGCTCAACCGCTGAGCCACGCCGGCTGGGCTGGTGTGCACTACTTTTAAATTTTTTTGTTTCCAGTGTAGAGCTCTAAATCCTTTAGGAAATAAACTAAGGTAGTGAGGATTTGACATTTGGTGAATCACAGCCAATTAGGCCCTATTATAAAGCCTTAGTCTTTAGTTAGGATTCTTGTGTAAATTAAGATGAAATAAAATAGTTCTCTCCTTTCTTCATTGTCTCAAGGGTCACATGGATGAAGACGTGCAGGCGGCCTTACTCCAGATTATACAGATGCGGCAGGGGCTTGTGTGCTAGTGGTCAGTGCTGACCTGCCCGTGTCCACTTCACCCGCTGGTGCTGAACATTCTGTTGCACGGCATGGCCTTTCTGGGCCTTCCTGTGCTAGTGTAATTGAAGTAAAGTGTATTTTGTCCCATTAGTAGGTTTTTAAAAATTAGATGAGTATGTTACTCTTTCAGTATCAGTTTAAAACTTATATTTCATATATGTTAATTTTACAGTTAAGCAAACAACATAATACTTTGCCTTGGACTGGCCACGTACTTTTAAACCATTGAGTCCCTAATAAAATATAAGCCATCTGAGTGAGGTTGAAGAGGAATTAGGCTGAAAAAATTGTTTAAAGATTTCTCTCAGAGAAATGAATTTGGTCAGTAGCCACTTTTAAGCTGATCAAGAGATCTTTCAGCTCTTCGGTCTGAGCCATGAGACCTAATGTGGTTTCAAGGAATGCAATATAACTTGGCAGGCCAAGTTGTGCTTTTATTGAAGTAACTTAACGAGTGCCTTTGACTTTTTTTGGAGGTACACTTTTTTCTTCTTATACTAGTAACTTTTGTGCCTTTTCAGATAAATTTCTTTTCCTAATGGTTTGCAGTGCTAAATTACATTTAGATTAAGAACAGGCCAGGGTGGACTATATCAGGAATTTATAATAAGATTGCCTCATTATCTCCACAACAGTATCTTAATTTTCACTGTGGTGACTTTTCTTACTGCAGTATTTAGAAAAGTATAAATGGCATGCTAGATTTTTCAGTGTTAAAAATTTTAGACTTTTTTAGCAGTTACTTTGACATTTGCTACTATAGTAACCAAGCACCCATTAAACATGCATCCTCCAAATGTTTATACTTATTTATAGAAAAATTGCACTAATGAGATTAATAATGTGAAATGCAGCTTTCTTGCAAAATTAGCATGAGAGAATTGGTTTTAGAAAACAGATCTTTAAGATTTTAAACAAAAATACAATAATATAGTAAACTTTAAGAGTATAGATAGTGAGAAAATAATAAGATTGGACATATTCATAGTGGATACTCTGTTGTAACGAACCATTTTTATTAACTACATCTCATTAAAGTTTATGTTTTGTTATTTTTATTAATTTTTATACTGTTAAGATTGAAAATTACTAATTTGACTGTTAGCAAATAAACTGAACAAATGAATTATTTCCACCAAGTTTTTTAAAATTGCAAAGTGTACCTTAGCAATAATCTTTGAACGTTCTGAACCATACTTTTGATCCCATTGTGGTATCATAACAAGGACACAGGACCATCAATACAGCTTTTCCCACCAAAGAAAAAGTCCTTGTATTTCTTCAGTGTAGAAACAACAGTGAAAAGTCAGAATTGGGTTTATTCTTAATTCTGTAGGTAGATATACACAGTTTACATAAGCAATATTTGGATTCTTTCATTTTTATACTTAATGTGTTCTGCAGCATGGGTTCTGTTTCATGAGTATTAGATCTCCTACTGAAGCTCTGGAGTGGAGAAGGTTCTTAACTGAATAGTCACATTTGTTTTGTATTTGGTGGAAAGGGAACTCTATGTATATTTTATTTTGTCTTCAGCCATCAATAAAATGTTTTCTGTGAAATACTTTTGAGCATCCTTATAAGTAAAACAAGTCCATTTGCTGTCTTTGGAGAATGTGGTGTAGAGACTGATGGGTTCCAAAGTACAGGTGGTGATACCTGTTTTCAGTTACTAGTAGAGTGAAGGGAGTATCAAGGTACCGTGAATTGGCCCCGTCCTCTCACTCGCTCACCTTTCCATATCAAAGGCAGACACTGCATTTACAACACTGAGGCTAAAGGGGTTTTTTTGTTTCTTTGTTTATTTTAATCTTCACCCCAGGATGTTTTTTCCTTTGCTCTTTGGAGAGAGTGGAAGGGAGAGTGAGAGAGAGACACATGGATGTGAGAGAGACACATGGGTGAGAGAGAGACACATGGATGTGAGAGAGACACATGGATGTGAGAGAGACACATGGATGTGAGAGAGACACATGGATGTGAGAGAGACACATGGATGTGAGAGAGACACATGGATGTGAGAGAGACACATGGATGTGAGAGAGACACATGGATGTGAGAGAGACACATGGATGTGAGAGAGACACATGGATGTGAGAGAGACACATGGATGTGAGAGAGACACATGGATGTGAGAGAGACACATGGATGTGAGAGAGACACATGGATGTGAGAGAGACACATGGATGTGAGAGAGACACATGGATGTGAGAGAGACACATGGATGTGAGAGAGACACATGGATGTGAGAGAGACACATGGATGTGAGAGAGACACATGGATGTGAGAGAGACACATGGATGTGAGAGAGACACATGGATGTGAGAGAGACACATGGATGTGAGAGAGACACATGGATGTGAGAGAGACACATGGATGTGAGAGAGACACATGGATGTGAGAGAGACACATGGATGTGAGAGAGACACATGGATGTGAGAGAGACACATGGATGTGAGAGAGACACATGGATGTGAGAGAGACACATGGATGTGAGAGAGACACATGGATGTGAGAGAGACACATGGATGTGAGAGAGACACATGGATGTGAGAGAGACACATGGATGTGAGAGAGACACATGGATGTGAGAGAGACACATGGATGTGAGAGAGACACATGGATGTGAGAGAGACACATGGATGTGAGAGAGACACATGGATGTGAGAGAGACACATGGATGTGAGAGAGACACATCAGTTGATTGCCTCCCACACGTGCCCCTACCAGGGCCAGGACTGAGCCTGCAACCGAGGTAATCCCTTGGCGAGAATCAAACCCAGATCCTTTAGTCTGCGGGCTGGCGCTCTAACCACCGAGCCAAACTGGCTAGAGCAAGGCTAAAGGCTTATAGATAGTAAACATTGGAACATAGATAATGAGTGATGCTGGTGCCTCTGTTGTCCTGTGTTCAGAAAGACTGTGAGGTCTGAACTTCTAGCAAGAGGAAGATGGGTTGTAGTCTAAGATGTGGTGCTCTCTGAAAGAACTCTGAGTTCCTGTGGGGTACAGTCCTTTGTTGAAAACTTTATTACTATTCCATTGTTTAGCCCCCCCGCCGATTCATTAATAAAGCTCATTCCTTTTAACAGAGGATCAGTGTTGTAAAGAACTATTAACATAAAATCAAATATCTAATGAACATCTTCAAGTTTCATATACAGTCACTAATCACTTGCTATACCTCTGCTGTTCTAAAACTCCAAGTTAAATCAGCCTAACCTTTCTTACAGCTTTTTTTTTTTTGTTTTAACCTTTTCTCTTGACCCAACCAAATGTTATATAGTTTAAAATGTTCTGTTATTCTAAATGCATGGGATTATTGCTGCTTAAAAAATCTTGCAGCTTTAGAACTTGAGCACTTGTTTCCCTCAGTGCTACTAGCTGTCCGCTAACCGGGACCTAAGCGCTGTTCTCATGCACACGCTTCTTACCTATCTGAAGGGCCCATGTTCTTGGCTCACTTGTTTCAAAGTAGAATAGGGAGAGTTTCAAATGAACTGTCGGTGTCCACGATGCCTGCTTACACTGGTGCCTAACAAGCCGGCAGTGGTTACAGGCATCTCTTGACGTCTGCTTCACCGTGGTGGAGGAAAATGACTTCGTACAGCCTCTTTATTTTCCTCATCACTGAATTCCTCAATCTTGTGGAGATCGTTCTTCCTCTTGTATGTTCTGTGCATCAAAGTAATGGCACCACCTCTGGCTCTAAAATAAGGATTGAAAGAGGGTTGCCTGTGATGAGCATGCAAAGTGTGGTTGCACATGTCTGGCAGAGAAAAAGAACCTGGACCTTATTTGTGGCTGCTAAATGTCAGTAATTTTCAGAAAGAAAAAAACAAGTGGCACCATAAAATAAATCATGTACAGGATACATCATGCACAAAATACAAAGTGGGAGATGGGCGTTCTTGCGCTTGTTTCATTCTGTGTCCCTGACCAGACCAAACTGGGTCTGACACCTTGTTGGAAATTCTTTCCCATGTTTTGGGCCTTGATATTTGAAACAAGGCTGTCTTAGACCGGCCTCTCGGGGTAATATTCATCTGTTTCTTAGCATAGCTTCTGTTTCTTATTGCACATAGGGGCCTTTGGCTGACATGAGTCATGAATGCAGAGATTTAAAAAAAAAAGAAACAAAACATGAAACTGCAGCAGAGATGGCATCCCAGTGAGACTCCCTGGGCAGTGAGAGCACTTTTGTGTTCAGCGTAATTGGGCATGTGGCATCACTTATGCATTAGAGGGCATTTTCATTATTTATGCCTGCATGAACCAACGTTGATGATGAATGAATTCAACCAAAGAGGGAAGGCTACAAAAGTGTCATATGTAAATGAAAAAGAGCCCATTGTGTGTGTATGTGTGTACCTACATATATATGTATTCCATTCAGTGAAACAGAAGAGACATCAATAAAAATATGCCCCTTATAATGGATACTTGGAATCAAATTACTTAATGAACCCAATTTTTATTTTATATTTTAAACAGTTTGCTTTTTTTTTTTTTTTTTTTTGAGATAGCAGTCCTGGGAATATTCTGAATTCAGGAAAGAGTTTAGAGAGGTTATTGCCTTCTTAATAATTTAGAGCTTCTATTACTCTGCCAAGTCAGAAGATTAACATTTAATAGAAAAAAATTACATATCTATAATTCAGTCACGGCTATTAGATCAGATGGATTTTACATTAAGTGAAAAAGATGTCGAGCATTTAAGGACCATTAAACTACAGGACTCTCTTATTAGATTTTAAGGCCTCCGAGCCTGGGTCCTGCTGCAAGGAGTATTTATTTTACATATACAGAATGCATTAAGGGTGGGAAAAGGGCATGCATTTTAAAAGAAAATAGGCCATGAAAAAGTGTCATTTTCCACATTGTGAACAGCTACCATACAGGTTCAGTCTTATTTTATAATAATTAGTTTTATGCACCATTAATTTGCTTTCTTACAGGCTACAAGAATATGGTGAAGGCCGCTTTAAAAGTGGTACCTTTTAAAAGGGAATCCAAGTAGCCAGGAACCCTCTGTTGATACTTCATTTTGAGAAACCACATTTCTAATAATTTCCAGATCACTCTACATTATAAAGAATTCAAATTTGAAAATGCCTTCTTCAGTGGCCTTAAAGACCATGGGGGGAGGTGGGAGACCTAAGGAGGAGGAGTTCCTTCTAGTAAGTGTGCTTTTTCCTAGTCATACCCAAATGATCAAGGAAGGACTGGAATTCCACACAGAACACCCGCCTGTAGGGAGAACATCTGCACCATCCTGTTTATTAAGTGCCTGTAACACTTTTCATAGTTGCAGTTAAAACATGACAAGCAATACCTTAATTAATAGAAACTTTTCTTACTATTTACACCATACCTCCTGCCCCATTCCTACCTCCAAAAACGGGGTGAGTTTTGTGTAGGAGTATAAAAGCAAATAGGGAGTCTGGGGGAAGGAATGGAGTTAATGTAATTTGTAACTTTTTTTCCCCTACAATGTCCAAACAAACTTTGCGATTTTCTTTCTTGTTATTCTAGGCTCTTTTTAATTGCCTCTGACTAAAGTGACACCTTATGGGCTGCTTCAGAAAGTCTCTTCAGGATTTAAAAATGAAGCCAATTCATATTCAGAGGATTCCTGCTAAAATCTGTTGAGCCAAAATAAAAATGACTGCTACTTAAATTTTTTCCTCTTTGTTGTTGCTAAAAACATTGTCTCACAGGAGTTTACAGTTGCCATATATGCACAATGGACAGTTATAAACTGTCCCTGGTAGAAATGGAGAGGGCGCAAACCATCGCAGGGCTGCAAGCACAGCCCTCCGGATTGAAGTGTATCTGCTTCAGTCAAATAAAGAGGAGCAGCTCCCTGAGCTCGGAGCCTTTTTAATTTTTTTCAAGTGAATTGTTCCAGTTGGCCCTAATCCCTAAGCAGTATAGCTCTTTAAAAACCATCTCTATCCTTTCACACCAATTGACAGTTTAAGAAATACCCCCAGCTACTGTTTGTCTAAATATATCTGTTAGAGTCTAAAGCGTTAAGAGGATTTGCAATCTGATTACCCAAAATACTATTCATTGTCAATATTTTTGCTGTGCCATAGCCAATCTTGTTATTATAATGTGCATGGCCTCTTAACGG